GCACAGGAAATGAAATCCGATTATGCTGCTGAGCAGCGTAGAATTCGATCCTTATTGACGAGGTGTATGACGGCACGCGAAATCGTGCGTGTTCGCGCGTGTTATGTAAAATATTATATTTCGCCGGTGCTGTAACAAGCTGACTCGGAATGTCACGTAGAAACTTGATTTGTTATAAAAAATATAGCAAATGAGGATATATGAAATTTTTCAAATTACAGTATTTGTAACATTTGACGCACAGTACTTGTAATATTTAACAGGTAAAGCCAACTTCTTTCTAGGTTCTAACCTTTTTTAATTATTTTCATAGAAATTGCATAAAAATTTTCTCTCGATCTAGTACCGAGATACTAAGAAATCTCTGTAAAAGATATTTCTCGCAAATATATTACAGCCATATGCAACGAGTGTTAAAAATACTTCCATTCAATATTGAGACTTGTTAATAGATTAGATCATCGACTTAAATGCTTTCGTGATCTTACATACTTTCGTTGAGCCACGAAAGTATGTACATATATATAACCAGAGCTACATATCGAAAGAAGATCGTAGACTGTAAGAACGCATTGTGGAATTGATGGTCTCGATTTCTGAGGGTTGATAGGCTGGGTTAAGTATCCGATGTACGGCCACGCTTCTCGACTACGAACTGAGCTCCTGTTTATCGTCTATCGTTACTCCGATCTGAGAACCGCGTGGAAATGGGAGGATAACCAGTCGCAAACTTTGCGAAATTCCCTCAGCGATTTCTTTCTCTGAATGTCGTTGACTTTCTTGAAACACCAGTGGCTCCTCGCAGTTTTACAAAAAAATTTTTCGATAAAAGTTCTAGACGTTCAGGTTTATTTATGAAAATAAATATGTACAGTACGTTGGTAAATATCTTTTAGTTTCGTCGTGTGTATTATCGGAGTGCAGTTTCTCTGTGATCTCACTGCCAACACGACATGTTTCGTATCATTGAAAGTAATTTCGGTCGTCTGTCGATCCGACAAACGACCAACGCGACACAAGCGTGGGCGTGACACGCATT